TCCAGGAAACTGGAAGAGTCAAGCAGAAGGATGTGGCAATACCCAACATGCCGTGTTAAACCACCTGCCCACCCCTTTCCTGAAGACATACTCCCTGCATGCTCTTCATGTCCTGTGCAGTTTACAGCCCAGGTTACCGAGCAGATAAGCACTGGATTTTTACAGCGACAGCCCTTAACTTCAGCGAGGACTGACAAGAGCACCAGCTCTGCAACCCCGCTGTACAGCCTCCCAGTCACAGCCCCGATATGCTTGACGTTTTCTAACCGGGGGCGTTAGTGGAAGACTCTCTGCAGCTGAATCGCTCAGTGCTCCTACGCCGTCACAAAGGCGTTGCCTCTGCCTCATTCTGTGCGATCAGGCCTGAAAACGGTCCACGCGCGGATCAGCGTTTGCTCTGTGCGTTCTCTGCCTGTGCTGCTCTCCGGCTCTCTGCACGCGTGTCGGGGTGCGGTCAGGTGACGTACATGTTGTAGTTCTGGTCCTCGGTCTCCTGCTGCACGGTCAGCTCCTCCAGCGTGGCGTCGATGTCCAGCTGGTTGGTCTCCAGCTGCCGGAGCAGGGTCTCTCTCTGCGGGCGACACGGGGAGCAGGGCTCAGGCTGGGAGAGCGAGGCGCGAGGCGACCCAGCCCCACCCCTCCTGCTCAGCAACATCAATAATGAAGGGCGCCCCCAAAAAGCGCCGGAGTTACACGGCTCGGGTTACAGTACGAATTACAGCTCACGGCTCTGAAGGCAACGGCTGCGGATGGAATGTCAAGGAATCTAGACGAGGCGGTCGTCACCAGGGTTACATGCTTTTCACTCCTTAGTCCGGAGTTAATTCAACCAGTTGTAACATTCATTGCGAAAAGACAACGATATGACCCATTATTGACCCGTTCTAAAAGCATTTCTTCCATTGACAGGTGTTTGGTCCTGTCAATTTAACCACCACATCCCAAACTCTGGGGTCTTTGCTGAGGTTTTTTTTCCAAGTTACTACCAACAGCAAACAGTGGTTTTTCAACAGTGCATTCGTCTCCCCAAGCTCTTATTGGGCACGATGCACGGTGTCACGCGGGGACGATTTCAAGAGGCCGGCTAACCCAGCCTACAAAGCCTGGTCCGTGGAAGGAGGGAAGAAACTGGGCCACCTGGTCAAACCCCACACTCCAGGGGGAGCCCCAGACTGGATCCGGAACCCGGTGCCAAAGGCTGCGAGGCAGCATCCCTAACGGAGACACCGCCCCCACTCCAAACACGACAGATCACAGGCCACCTGACGTCAAGGCCCCCCCGAACGCTCACCTGCAGCTGCAGAAACGGTATGTTGAAAAATCTGTGCAAGTACTTCAGGCCAAACCCATTCTTCATGGAAGACTCAGCGTAGTGGATGTAGGACGAACCGAGAGGTCTGCAAACAAGCAGAAAAACACAGCCCACTGAAGCCCCCCGGGGTCTGGACGGGCCGAGCCCCACTGCTCTGCTGGCGGCCGAACCCAGCAGGGGCTCGAGGCTCCGCCCGGGGCACAGGGTGGTGCCAGCCGTCGGGTGAGGCTGGGGAGAGCGGGCTAACCTGCAGGGCTCTGCAGTGCGAAACAGGACGGAGTGCTAGAGGCATAAAGCACAACCGGCTCCTGCCTACTCAGGGAATAGGCAAGGATCAATCCTCCACTCACTCACAAATACTGCGAAAGGAGAATATGGCGTCCATGAAGCGAAGGGAAAAGGGGCGAGGACGTCAGAAGAAAGGATTTAAACCTCGAGCGCGGTGCTCCTCCAGCTCCGCAGTGCAGCCTCCCGGGTCTGGGGAAGAGGCCCTACCTGTTGAGGCTGGCGATGAAGTCGCGGATGTCGTCGGGCAGGATGACCCGGTGCTCCCCCATGTCGCGGTGGTTCCCCAGCACGCACACGGGCACGTGAGTGGGCACCTTGGGCAGCTCCCGCAGGATGTAGTTAAAGGTCCTGACAGCGGCAGACACAAGACAACAAGCACACAGTGGAATATTCCCTCTAGTTCCCAGAACAGCCCCCGGCCCCTGACGAGGCAGCCCAGGGTGAACGAATGATCCCCCCCCACCACCCCCCCCAGACTGCAGCTCAACCAAGCTGAACCCCCAGGCCCTGTGGACACTGCCGGACCCTGGCTCGAGTCACCCCCGTGCTGCTGGTGGGATTGTGGTTCCACACAGCTTCTTCTCACCGCGGATAAACCCCGACACACGATTTCCAGCGGTGCAGGAGCTTTGGAGAACCATCCCAGAACTGACCCGCCGGAAAGCAAGGGCACCTTCGCAGCACGTACTACTGCCAACGGCCATATCTGAAGGGCGCCTGCGCTAAAAAAAACCTTTTCTCTAGGTGCCAAGATCTTAGAATACGGCCTTCAAGAATATTAAAAGAAAGTATTTGTGAGCAGCGTTTTGCCAAGGAAGAGCAAGGCTGTCACCAACATATCTTAGGGATCCACTAACTGCAGGCACATCCTGGAGGAGCTGTAACAATCCAAGGGCGGCACAAGAAATTGTGTGGTCCCAGCTATGAGTGCAGTCAAGGCGTTCTCAGGATACAGAGGTTCTCCTGTCCTGGCCCTGGGGACACCTGCACCCACAGATCTGCGCTCCTGCCGGCTGGCTCAGATTGTTTCCTGCACCTAGTCCCCGATTTCGAAAAACGATTTCCAGCTTGAGCACAATGAACGTCATGCAGTCGCTCCTGACCCTGCCAATCAAGAACGCGCTTCCTTATTTCTGACTAAAAAAAAACTCTTAACAGGTGACGCGGTTGATGAACAGAGAAGTGGGAATGATGCTGTATCAGACCCCTCCCCCAGCGAGTCCGTGCTTTTACTTCTGCTTTACTGTAATCAGCTGTATTCCAGCTCTCGCGTCTCAATCTCACCGATCAGCACAGGGTTCACACCGAGCACAATTCTCATTTAGCTTTAAAAGAGCTGAAATCAAAAAAGGCCCCTGACTGAATATGCATATAAATCACGGCTGGTGAGTAAAGGCCCAGTTGGAACAAAAGCCAGCAGGAATGGAATTCCTAAAGGACCAGGAGTGAACCACTGCTCTACACAGCAGTACTCCGGACAGATCTCGTGAAAAGGGAAAGACCTGAATCCCATCTGCTGATACAGCCGCTCAGAGCAGAGGGGCTGTGTGCATTCACTGGCTGTCTGACCCTCACATGCTCCCAGCAGGAACAGAGCAGTGTATCGGGTTGAGGAAGGCTCAACAACAAAGCACATGGGCGCAAACCCTGAGCAACACGATCACTGAGCACCCTGCCAACAGGGAGTCTGGTTACAGAGGCGGGTAACTGAGAGCACTGGACAGAGCACTGCAAGGCTCACTGAAGAGAGGAGAACTCCGACATCTGTGGGCTGGTTACATCCGCAGAGCAACGCAGTACCCAGGCGCGATGGGGCAGGAGGGTATAAACCCTCTACGCACTGACAAGGAACCCAAGGATATCACTGGATGCGTTGATTTGACAACACAATACTCAAGGCCAGACACTGTCCGGTCCAGGAAGTTTCCTTACCAAAGTGTTACAAGTAATAGAATCAAGACCTGTGAGCCCCACAATTACACGTGCAGGTTTGTCATCCTTTTTATAAGCAAGCGATAAAATTAGCATTTTACCAGTCAGAGGGCATTTCTCCCATCTTGACAGGCTGCTGGGAAGAGCTTTGGGAACGTCTCTCTTGCTGAGAGGCGCAAGAATCGGGCCCTGGATGGATGTACAACCTTTAGTGCTCCTGCTACCTGCACGCGTGAATACGCTGCAGCCTCCCTCAGGCTCAGGCATGCTGGCAGGTTATTCATGCCTCTGTTGCAAAACTCTTTCCTCAGCCTCTGCCTTTCCAGCTCCCCTTATTTACCTGTCCCAGCAATTCATTATTCTGTTTTTCTTCTAGTTTTTATTTCCTAATGTGATAATCCTCTGAACCCACTTCTTCTGTCCTTCGACTTTCTCGATCTTGGGTCGAACCAGCTCTGTGCTTCAGACCCAACATCTCCACAGGCTTGTCATCTATTCTCTACCGATGCTCTCTCTCTCTCCTATCCCATTCTCCACCTCCAAGGCCTGGTCTCATTCCTTCATAGTTTGCTTTCCTGAAACTGTAAACTCTCTATTCCAGAGGTGCAGTTTCAAAGTCTACTTCTAAGCCACAACGGCTTAAGATCACAGTTGATTTTATGAAACGGCATCCGTGAAATACTGACACCCGCCCTCTTACCACTGCTTGGTGATGTCAAACATCATGATCACTCCATTGCAGTTCTTGTAGACATCTAGAAACTCGGCGTCCAGGGCCAGCTCGTTTTCAGCCTGCGGGCACGGGTAGGAGAGACAAAATGAGTGCAGAGTGGAGTCACAGGCTCCAGGTCCCGTCAACTCAGGACAGCTGGGGGCTTCTGGGAGGCAAGGAACAGAGAGAGCACAGGGCTGGCGACACTACACAACACACTGGAACAGTCCTTCATGGGCGAGTAACAAATCTACACTTATTCGGAAAAAAAAGCCAGACCTGAGTCAGACCTGTATGAAGACTGTCTGGATTTTATTTATAGGTGAAATTCTCCTGGGACGATACTTTCAAAAGTGTAAAACTGCTTTTCTCACACAGAGAATAGAGTAACTGTGACGGGTTAAAACCAGTGGTGTCAAAACTTAAATTAACTTTCCAATTTTTATTTTCAAACATACTCCCTGAAATATCCCCCCCAAAAATGGTTTGTACCTACCTCCTGAGGCTCATTTTCCAGCTTCAAACTTTCACCTCGCTTTTTACTTTTGCCTATCAAAAACAAAAGAGGAGAGGTTGGATTTTGGGCAGCGATATAAAAAGAAGACCGTTCCATCCATTCAGTCCAACACAGCTCCACTCTGCTAGTCTACAGCGGAGGTTTTCAAGGTCTGATACACCCATGCCAAAGAAACGCTGCGCATCAGATCAGCTACATCCGAAGACGAAGGTTCTGCACTGGGGAACATCCCAATCGCGCAGCCTGGCCCCAGAGTGTGCTGGGAGGAGCGCTGGGAAATCCGAGCGAATGTTTTCAGTGATGCAAAGCCACAGCGCTGGGGTGCATCAAAAACAGCAGCCATCGCAAATGAGCAGCTCCTGGGCTAAAGGTTGTCGACTCGACACACTGCCCCACCCTGCTCGCAGGCGCTGAGGAGGACGAGCGGAGAAGAGGTCTCGACCCTCCCCGCTCCGCCGCCACACGTTCCCGCCAGGACTCTGGAATCCCAACAGAAGCCTCTTCCTGTTCCCAAGAGAGGCGTACATGATGGACCCTGAGTCGTTCTAGACTGGGAGTCAGAGTAGGACACTCCTGGAGTCAGATTGTTCGGGGGGGAGGTGGTGGTGGAAATTAACAGGATTTTGTTCTGTTGAGTAAACTTCATTTTTGCTCCCAAATTATGAAGTTACCCGTTTACCTGCGTGTGAATTTTGACATTTCTATTGCAACACTGACTCCAGTCTCCTCCGCCCCGCAGGAAAACTTGTCACATTTCTGCAATGCCAGCCACCCCACGGGGGTGTGCAGAGGGCAACGAGAACGGAGTTCCTGCGCGTTGTCAGATTTCGAGCTAACCCCCCTCCCGAATATCCCAAAGGAAAATAAGAACACGATTGCAAACCTGCTGATGCAGCCAATTCATCACTAATGACCCTGAACGTTTTCTAGGAAAGGTGTGTATCAGAGCTTTGAAACAAGCCTTCGTTCTCCATCATAAAGCAATCCACACCGTTAATCAAACCCAGAGAGTCATTCCAGTGCAGCGAATGGCTCAGGCTGGACGGTCTATACAGCTGTGGGTTCATGAGACCACAGTCTGGGAGACACAGTAGACGCACACAGTGCGCATGCAGAGATGTGCCCTGCGTTATTTACCATTCATCCCGTTTGAGGCACGAGATGGGCTGAAATGAATGCCTTTCGCTGCAGTGATACCCATTCACAGCACGTGCACTGCCACTGTTGCAGCTGAGAAAAGGAGCAGACCACCTTCCCCAGCCTGCACTGCAAACACAACGAGCGACCCCCGTGGGGGGCTTGAGGCGGTCACGCTAGAAGAGACGAGGCTTTTCGCAAGGGGGGAATTTATAAAACACGACACTGCCAAACCATGTTTGGTTTTTGATCGCCTGCAGACGAAAAGCACCTTGCATGCATTTGCTGCTTTTTCAAAAGCTCCTCTTCATACGTAGACATTCAGTGAATACCTGAAAGCCCACAGTTTAGGTTATTGTGGCAGATATACTGCATTTATATCTCCATGCTCATTTTTGAAGCTAAAAACCAACGAAATAAACTAGAGTATACATGAAACAGATACTGCTGTATCTGAATATATACAAGCCACCGCTGGGTTTATAGTTTTATAGAGTTGGTTTAAAGCAGAATTTGTTTGTTTTTACTCAACACAGGGCCACTACAATGCACAGAGTGGCCTGAGACTCGAGTGGTAATTTCAGAAACAGTGCACAGCGTGTCTGGGCTTCTCTCAAGCACAGTGCTTCCTGCAGAAGACCAGTCTCTCCCCCTTCAGAGCTCTCAGCAGCACACTGACAGACTCGCTGGAGACAAGCAGCTCCAGGCACAGCCCTCTACAAACTAAGGCGGTTCTCACCTAAACCTTCAGCAAGAGGAAATTTTTGACCTGAAGAATTGTGGAAGAGCAGGAAATAAAAAATAAATAAAGATGGCAATTAAGGAAAATGCAGCAGGTCGAAAAATATGTCAAACAGACAATCGCACCGCGCAAAATTCAACAGGAGCAGAATGAACTGGCTGCCTGAACACCTGGACAAGAAAAAGACTCGCTGCTGCTCACACCTGTGCAAATAGTACCTGTGCAGGTAGCTGGGCGCTGGGAAAAGCACACCTCCGCACCTACGCATGCATTCCGTTTAATGATCAATCCCTCAACGAAACTCGGTATTAAAGGTCAAGGGATCAGTGCCACCTGTCTCTGTTAGTCAAACCCACCCAGTTTACACACACTAAGAACTGCTCAAACACCAGGCACCTCAAGGCAACCTACTCACTTCCTGCAGTCAGTAGACTGAGGTCATGAACTGGGATCGAAAACGCAGGGCCAGCCAAAAGAAAAGAATGACATGAAACTTCACCTCGTTTTGCTGATCAGCCATAACCCTGCTAGAATGCAGACTTATCTTGGCCAGCTGCTGCAGAGGCTCGGG